TTGCAAAAAGTACATTTTTAAATAAATAAAAATATTAAGTGTGAAACATGGTAGAAGAATATAGGTAGACGCATGGTAGAAATACCAGGTAGCAACATAGGCGAAAATTACAACAAAGCAACTTTTTTAGAAACTTGATATGTCAAAGTTTTAACCAGGGCGAATTTATTTGAAGTATAAAATTTGGGGCAAATTGGTTTGCACCAATCAGAACTCTTCATTCTGAAACATTGAATAAGTTTGTTTTGGTTTATTCATATGTATATATTAGTTGAGATTAGTACATTTTTTAACATATAAACTGAAAATACTACAATAACTGGAAGTGTATACGTATTATACCATCAGTCATATCGCTAGAGAAGGTCTGTATAATTCCATATGACCAAAATGTATCTGATCGAAATAACGCCTCGGCGACCCGTCCGTCTGTCTTGCTGGTGCGTACGATAGCTGTAGAATGGATCATCATCCAAACATAGTGCATCGCAATATTATTAACAAACATAATGCGGAGATGGGCAATGTCGTCCCACTCCTTCCGGTTTCTCCCTCACGACATTTTTTAACAGCACAGAATCCAGTGCGAAAATACAAAATATATGTTATGTTATCACTTATTTTGTATTCTCTTAATAAAATAAATAATTCTCCTTGTAGCATTAGATATAGGTTTTTAAGAAATGTGTAAAGATTCCAAGTTATCCTTTTGTATTAGAATTAGGGTTGATGTTTTGCCATTAAAAGTGAGTAAATAAATAAATGTACATATATGCGTGGAACTACGGTGGATCCATGGTACAATGAATTCAAGGTTGGGCAGAACTACCATATGATTTCAATTTTTTTATTTTTCTGGCTTAATATGTCAACTTCATTTGCTTATGTGTGTGTCTTCTTTTCAATAATAAAAAAATTGTTCAGAAAATATTTAAATTCGGGTGTTTTCAAAATGTTTATTTCATCGTATGCATCGACAAAATCTAGAGTTTTGTAGCGAAATAAACCATAAGAGATATATAGAATATGATATTGAAAAGAAATGTTGACCATTCATTCAGTTTTCGCGGTTTTAAATTATTTATTCAAAATCAATGCAACAAGTTGTTTGCTTTTTTATTGTTTTGATAGTAATTCTGACATTACAAGCCAAACAGGTAGACCTCTATACTTGCAATTTTTTCAAAGTTGACCTACCTTCTCTTCATTGTACCATGGGTGGATCTATCGGAATTGTGTACAATATAAAGGTCCCCACTGTATTTTAATGATCTTAGTCACATTTACCCACGGAATTGTTTCAAATTTGGTATTTAAAACTTGCAGTAGATAGAAATCCACTTAGTATTAATATGTCTATATAGGTTCATGTTTTGGTATGACTCCAATGTAACGGTTCCACACACTTTATTGGTATTTGAAATCTTTAACTGCATTCTCCTACCGATCTCAGTCGTATTTGTAGTTTAAAGTGGAACATGTTTGAATCCAGATACTTTTGTATAAAAATGTTTTCTTAGGTAATGGTGGAGGGTATTCAAAGCTCGGCCCGGCCGAACTTAATGTTTTTATACCCTCAGCCATATGGCTAAAGAGGGTATATATCATTTGATATGGTCAAAACCTGCCTAGCCGAAATAACGGTTTTAGACCCTAGGTCTCTTTGAACCAAATCCGTTTTAGGACATTTGGAGTCGATCTAGCGATGTCCGTCCGTCCGTCTGGCTGGCTGGTGCGCACGATAACTCTCGAAGGGAGTATCCGATTCGGTCCTAACTTGGTACATCGTAGTATTTTTGTCAAACTTAGATCGAGTTCGGAGATGGGCAATATCGGTCCACTCTTCCTGGTACCTCCCCCACAAAAGGTCAACATTTTCATTGAAAATAATTTACCGCATATAAAGATAACGGATTGTTGGATTTTCTTCAAACTTTGCAAATCGTAATATTTGCATTACCCCAAGATTGGGTGGGAGAATGGACAAGATTGGACTACTCCTTCTAGTACCTCCCCCACCCTGGTACAGTGCATGGTAATAATTTCATTGTACAACTTATGCCCGTTATATACTTTGGGTTGAAGTGATGAGAACATATTTTGGCGTTTGGGTTTAAAGTGATCCCACAAATCGCACTCCACTTCAACCTCTTCGTCTCTTCCTTGGGTACATTGAAAAATGTTGCTTGTCGTTCACTATCCTTTCTTTTGCAAACAGCACAGCACCTCATATTCTGTTTTTTTTTTATTTAAATTATATCACAAAATTTAATTTTTATATTTTTGTGTTTATTTTTTCCTCTATGATGTTTGAATTTCTGTTATGTATTTCTACGGCGAATTCGAATTACAACAACTTGTTTGACATATCAAGTTGACTACAGCTGGCCTGAAAGGGTTACCTTGTAATTCTACCATGGGTAGACGCATCGACACCTTCGAGAAACGTCGTATAAGAAAACATATAAAAATCGACTTATATTTGAAAAACATTTACAATTTTTTGACATATCAGTGGTCCCAATCGTTGATGCATCTACCTGTACTCTCATGGTATGAACACGATTCTCTTTAAATTTTTCTGATATTTTGGATACGGGAAAACGTTTCGAGTAATTACTTAAAAAGTCTTGTACATAATGGAACAGATCTATGTTTTCACCACACGCCATTGATTCAAACGACGCCGTCATGACCCATCCATTTAATGGGCCTTGGACGCCGTTCATTAACTTAACTCCGTCAGAGTCAAGTACAGCGCCTTGGCATTGCCATGATACTGTGTTAAAACATACACACATGTAAACAACATTTTCAAGTAAACAAATCTTATTTGTTTCTTTTTTTGCGGCACATTGGTTTCTAAACGTTTATACACTTCTGTTTAAAATGAAGATTGCCGTAGAAGGCTGCGCCCATGGTGAACTCGAGAAAATATATGAAACTATTGCCGAAATCGAGAAAAGAGATGGTATAAAAATAGATTTGCTGCTATGCTGTGGCGATTTTCAAGCTACCCGTAACATGGAAGATCTACAAACCATGGCTGTTCCCACTAAATTTCAACATATGTGCTCTTTTTACAAGTAGGAAATAAACCGATAATTGATTTCAAATAATAAATATAATCCGATTCCTTTTCTAGGTATTACAGTGGGGAATTACGCGCTCCTATGCTAACAATATTCATTGGTGGGAACCACGAAGCTTCAAATTATTTACAGGAATTGCCATATGGAGGTTGGGTGGCTCCCAATATATACTACTTAGGATATGCTGGAGTGGTACGAGTCAATGATATTCGAATTGGTGGTCTGTCCGGCATATACAAGGGTAATGACTATTTACGGGGTCGCTTCGAATTTTCTCCCTACACGGAAAACACAAAGCGAAGTGTTTATCATGTTAGACAATTAGAAGTATATCGTTTAAAACAACTATCGGGAAGAATTGATATTTTCATGTCACATGACTGGCCGAAAGGTATATACAATTATGGAAACAAAGAGCAGTTGGCGCGTTTTAAACCATTCCTGCGCGAAGAAATGGATAGGGATCAACTAGGCAGCAGACCTTGCCAAGACCTGTTAAACATACTTAGACCTTCGTATTGGTTTTCTGCCCATTTACATTGTAAATTTGCCGCCTTGGTGCTGCACAGTGAAGCATCTATGGAACAAAATGTTGAAAAGCAAAGCACAATGTCACATCCAGAAGAAGATAAACCTAAATCTAAAATAACAAAATTTCTTGCGTTAGATAAATGTCTGCCGAAGAGGAGATTTCTGCAGGTTCTTGACATTGAATCGGAAAATCACACAGATGATGAGGGTCAACTACGACTAGAATATGACCTGGAGTGGCTAACGATACTACACCTGACAAACCATTTGGTAAATGTTAAGGAAAATTATTACTATTTGCCAAATGAAAAAAGTGCAAATGGTGAACGTTTTCAGTTTACTCCAACTATGGATGAAATGAACTTCGTTAGACAACGATTTGAGAATGATTTGAAAATCCCAGAAAACTTCTGTCGTACTGTAGAAGCATTCGACCCGTCCATACATTTGAGCAAAGGATACCATTATGTGCAGCCGAAATCTCAAATAAATCCCCAGTCACAACAATTTTGTGAAACTTTGGGTATTGATGATCCCCTTAGCTTAGCAATGCTGATTGGTGGTCATGAGTTAAGTCATTCTAGCACACTAGATAATACTGAGGATTCCGCACTTAATGAATCCATTCCTGACGAGCATAATTCTAGCCTTAATACGTCTTCTAATTCTTTAGGAATCGCGTCAGCAAAGAGTCCATTAAAACGTAAAAGCAACAGTGGATTATCACTACCAAAACCAAAATTATCAGGCAATAACTCTATTGAAAATAAGGAAGAGTTAAAAATAGATGACGAGATTGAAGTTGAGAGCGAGACGCATATAAATATTGAGGGTGAAGTGGTCAATGATGATCACATGAACGCACATTCGCCTAAGGAAACGACAGAAAATGTTTCTACTGAGACTACAACAATAGTCAATTCAACTAAACCTCCTATAAAGAAATTTAAAAGACGCAATCAAGACATTTATGTGGACAAGAATGAGGAAGAGGAATTATGAAATAAATATGTTTAAATATATGTATTTAATGAAGGTCCATAAATTATTTTTGTAAATAAAAAGTGAAGACATAAACAAAATCAACTAATTATAAAGGCAGGACATAATAAAGACTATGTTATAATGAAAACAAAGTTAGATAGATTTGAGAGAAAACAGGCCTGGCAGTTTGTAATCTAAATTTTTTCAGTAAATAAAAATACGAAAACTTTTCTATTTAAATCAGGTCCTATAGGCAAATGTATTTGTTATTTTATTAAAATTATTTTGATTTTTTTGTACTCAATCTTTATATGGTTGAAAAGAATACAAGGACAACTCAATCTTCAGTATTTATGAACTTTATTTCCAATATTATGTTGGATTCCAAGTGCATATTCACGTGAAAAGTTTGAAAAAAGTGAGTTTTCGTAATACAGAATCTAATGCAGTGTATTTGATTCCAATATCCCGCTTTTGTGTTTTTAATGCAGTAAATATAATATTAGTGTCTAATAAATAGGTATTTTATTGTATTAAGGAGAAACTACAGTCGAGATACATACAATTCTTACCAATCTCAATGTACAGCTTAAAATTTGATGGTTTATTGTGAGATTTTAGATGTTAGTAAGTTAGGCAAGGCTTCTCGACAGTGACATTACAACACTGGTAAACATCTTTTTTAAATATTATATTAGTGTCCTTAATATTAGATAAGAGTTATAGGCATTTTTGGTTTACATGCAATTAGAACTATTTTAATTTTTCTATTAACCGTTTCAATTATTGCTTATACAGGGCTATAAGCCTCTTTGGTATACATAAAAACCGTTCGTAATAACGCTTCATGTGGATCCGTTGTATCACAGTAATATGACACAGGAGCTGGTGTACGTCTTAGCTTTAATTTTGGTTTACAATCTGTGTTACATTCGCCAGACTTCTCTAAGATGTCAGGATGAATTGTTTCATAAAACGTACATGATCTGGGACCGAGTCCAGGAACATCAGCATCATAGGGTGGCGCTAATATATCAAAGAATGCTGCAACCCCACCCACTGCCGTAATTTCGTGATAATTTCTTTCTGTCGGTGTCAACAGAGAGCACCCCATATCCGAAGTAACAGTAACAGGTTCTTCTTGAATAACATCCACTTCCTTAATGTGTGGTGCAGTCTCATTCCAAGCATCACTGCTGGAGTTAATGTCTTGAGTATATGTTTGAATTTTGAGTTTACCATGGATGACTTTCAATAGACCATGCATGCAAGGATGATCATGCAACGGCATAGTATAACCACCTCTCATTATAAAAACGCTCATCGACACAGTCTCATCTTCGAATATATGCATATAAGTACAAGGTGCATGGCCAGGAGTTCGATAGAGGCTATCTTTAAGCAGTTTTTCCTCATCGATGAGAATGTCTCTCTTAGAAAGTTGATCTGTCAAATGTTTCAAAATCAATAAATTATTTTTGAGAGAGTTCTGATTTTTGCGATCGAATGTCTTCAGGGCCTGTCGCAAAATGTTTCCAAAATGGGAACTCATAGTAGACGTTTACGGTTAAGCATGAAACCACGTACGTACCGGTTAATAAAACAAATTATTATGACAATAGGTAGTGATGCGTAAGTCGATTTTTCACTAATTGATTGTGGGAGCAAACCTAGAGTATGTTCACATTGAATCCCATTATATGATGCACAGGGTAAAGGTGTGAGCAAGGAAGATGTCGCATGGTAGAATTTTGGATGTCGCATTTTGGAAATAAAATTTTTGAATGAAAAATTATTCAAATTTGTAAAAATTAAAAAAAAAAAAAAAAATCATATCATAACAACCTCCGATTGGCATCGTACAGGAAATCATGTGCAAATCTACTTATTTTTTGAAGAAACATATTAATAAAATTTTGACAGATTAATGTTCCCAAGCGTTTAAGCATCTACCTGTATTCTTCTACCATGGGTACTCGCATCGGCAAATTGCCACAATAAAATAAATTTTGTGGAACCATTAAATGTCAAAACTGGCACATAAGGCGAAAATAGATTCGCCTTGAGGCCTAAAGTTTGCGGCAAATTTGCTTCAACCAATCACAAACAAGATGTTTGTTTACATTGCATACCTTGTCTCATGGTAGAAGAATATAGGTAGACGCGTCGACACAGCTGCTGGGACAATGAACTGTCAAACCAATTTTGGAATTGAAAATGTTAAATGAAAAATTATTTAAATTTGTAAAAATTGTTGAAAAACGCGAAAAATTGTTGAAACGGTAGGTCAACACTTCTTTTCAAAATCATGTACTATATATCTCTAAAGGATTATTTTGCTACAAAAACTCTAGATTTTGTCGATGCATACGTTGAAATAAACATTTTAAAAACATCCGAATTTGAATATTTTCTGAACAATTTGTTTTTTATTGAAAAGAAAACACATACATAAACAAATAAAGATGACATATTAAGCCAAGAAAATAAAAAAAAATAAAATCATATGGTATCATAGCCCTACCTTGATATCATTGTACGATGGGAACATTGATGTCAAAAAAATTAAACGTCTTTTCAAATATAACGCGCTTTCAACAGTTTTAACGAATATGAATAATTTTTCATTCGGCATTTTCAATTCCAAAATTGGTTTGACAGTACATTGTCCCAGCAGCTGTGTCTACCTATATTCTTCTACCATGGGTTTGTAATGTATTTTGACATTTCGTTTGGTAGTCAGCTGGCTTGGAAGGGGAGCTTATACTTGGCCCACGACATCACGTGTAATATAAGGTCTCCGTGCCAAGCCAGCTGACTATCAAATGTAATGTCAAAAGACATTATTGTAATTGAAATCACAGAGCAAAAGATAAACAATAAACAAAAAAATGTAAACAAATTTTGACATTACATCTAGTCTTTAGAATTTGCAGGAACACCATGTTATTGCGCCATGGTCTTACGCGTTGACAGTTTTTCACAAACAGCTGATGGTGCCGTTTTGAAATGTTTGTTTGAGGCAACGTTGAAGATTGGAAGCTGCAAAAATCGAAAATCGCGATGTTCTCGTTTAAAATTTAATTTAGTAAAAAACAGGAAGTGACGTGCCCATAAAAAAGATAAAATACTGATTATGTTCGATATCTCTGTTGTTGTTGGAAGTTTGATCGAAAGATAAATGAAGCAACAATATTCTTATGCCACAAACATACATAACGCCACGCCATCACTTGCCTCCTCCTCATCTGGTCATACCTACAGAGAGCTCAACAATAGTACACCCAGAACATCACATCAACGCACAGTCATGTATAACCGTGACTGGCGAATGGCGTTGCGGACGCCTCCCACATATCGTATTGGAAACAGAACCGTACGGTTTAACTATCACATCGCAATGGTTATTATAGGAGCATGTGCATTAATTGTGCTTTTCTACTATGTACGGGGCAGTACCTCTTCGTCTGATGCGGCGTGGCTTAAAAATTACGCCAGTTCAACAAGTGGTCACCGAAACACAAATGTCGTTGGTGGTGTTAGCAATAGAAATCTCGCAAAGGATGTCACATCGTCGTATTACAATAATACGTATCCTCTAACACCGCCATTTGTTGGTAGACCGGGAATGATTACATACCGAATAGCCATAGTTGCTGATCTAGACACAAATTCCAAAGTGGAAACAAACGGTGCTACTGTGTGGCGAAGTTACTTGAAAAAGGGTCATATCACTTATGTTGCAGCTAAGAACGAGATATCAATATCGTGGGACAGCGGCGAACCCTTGATGTTGGAATCGGGATTTTCTCTAAAAGGTCGTGGTATGGAGCTTTCTGAGCTAGTAACATTTAATGGCCGAATTTTAAGTTTCGATGATCGGACTGGCCTAATCTATGACATTACAAATAATGAGAAACCAATTCCATGGGTAATTTTACTGGATGGAAATGGAAATAATGCCAAGGGTTTTAAATCGGAATGGGCAACAGTTAAAGATGGTTTACTGTACGTCGGCTCCATGGGCAAGGAATGGACGAATGGTTTAGGGGATTTCGAGAATGAAAATCCCATGTTTTTGAAAGTGGTTTCCACAGATGGTGCTGTAAAATCTCTTGACTGGTCATATAATTTCAAAAGACTGCGAGAAGAAGCAGCCGATATTACTTGGCCTGGTTACATGATACACGAGAGTGGTGTTTGGTCTGCATATCACAAAAAATGGTTCTTCCTGCCTAGAAGATGTTCGAAAGAAAAGTAAGTATAATAATAGTTTTCAGTTTTAGCAGTTTGCACGGTTTTGATAAATTTGTTTAATGCTCAAATGACTGCAATACATATTTAATTTCCGTTGATATGTACAGCCCAGTCATGAATAATCGATTCATAAGGAATTTCCTCCTTTTCTTTTATTATAAACAAAACTTTCTCACGGTATCATGAGTCTTCTTAAACTCTATGTTACTTCCAAAATACAAATGTAAATCAGTAAGGAAAAGTCAAAAGTCGGGCGGTGCCGGCTATATGATACCCAACAGCACAATGCAGACTTAGCAGAGCTCCCGTAACAAAATAATTTATTTAAAGAAGATCATCATTTGGCTTTAGAGCAGTTATAGCTTGGTTTCAGAGGGAACTAATATATGGAAGACATATCCAATTCTGAATCGATTTTCACTAAATTTGACGAAGATATTTTATTCTTCTATACCAAATAACATTGCTATGGAGCGCCTGATATCTCTTCGAGAAGGATTATACTATTAAAATATATATCGGAGCTGAGTTTCACAAAATGGAAGGGTACGTCCCGAAATTCACTCCATTTGGACTGATATTAGCCATTATTTGCACAATAAATCTGAAATCGGATTAAGTATATATAGGGGAGCTATATCAAAATCTTAGCCGTTCTCGATAAAGTTTGGCAGAGTTATTTTCGAGTAGTATCTGATGTCCGGTACCAAATATCATTCTTGTGGAGTGCATATTACACATGTGAGGGACTTAAACCCCCCAAACCGGATGAAAGATATATATGGGAGCTATAGCTATATATGAACCAATTGATGTACTTGCTTCTACACTGAATTCGGTGGGATGTACCAAAATTCTGGTCATTTAGACCATTTGGTACACAAATAACCCGAAATCGGTTAAAAATATGTGGGAGCTATATCCAAATCAATAGGGTTCGTCCTTGGATCGGATAATAAATGCGACCTGCAGTCTGTTCACAAGAATGTATGGACGGACGGACAGACGGACTGACATTCATAAATCGACTCTAAAAGTAATTCTCTCTTACTTCTCCATGTTGCAAACAAATGCACAAAGACAAAGACCCTAATCGCCGGGAATGGGCGAAGCGCTTGCTTGCGAAAACGCTTCAACATTCGGCAGCGTGTGACGATTTCAATGGCCGTTTGAAGGCCATAATTCGTGCCAAAGGTGACCAATTCGAACAAATCTAATCGTATTCTAAAATTTGATGCTATTTCCGACATTTTACATATTACGCATGTGAGGGACTTAAAACCCCAAATCGGATGAAACATATATATTATAATTATTATGAATATATATCTGAACCGATTTTCTCCAAATTTTATGTACTTGCTTCTATACTGAATTCGCTGGGAATTACCGAAATTCTGGTCATTTGGACTAATTTTGGCCATTTTTAGTGCACAATAAACCCGAAATCGGTTGATGATATATGGGAGCTATATCTAAATCTGATCCGATTATCACCAATCGCTTATTTTTCAATGTTACAAAAAAATGCATAAAGACATAAAATCCTTACCACTATGTGGTGTAGGGTATAAAAATGTTTACTACGATAACCGAATTTCCCTTTAAAATGTCCAAAAAATTGGAAAACACTTAGGTTCTTGCAGGTTCTGGAACAGACACAATTGTTGTTATGGCAGACAAACAACCAAGAGAAGCAAACCATGGGAAAAATTAAGAAATATAAAATATTTTTAAATTGAGTTATATTTTTAAACTCCGAGTCAAGAAAAAAATACCACCTCCAAAAACCTTCTCAAAACTCTTTTATAATGAGCATTTAAAAAACGCTCCAATAATAATTTAAAGAAAGGACTATATGTTATCTGTTATATACTGGTACTGTCTGTTTTAATTTTATTCCAGATACAATGAAACCCGTGACGAATACATGGGTTGTAATCTCCTAATTGCGGCCAATGAAAATTTTAGCAAAGTAGAAACCGTTGTGCTGGACCCTAATAATAACCAGCCAACACATGGATTTTCCAGTTTCAAATTTTTACCAGGGACAGACGATCGAGTGATTATTGCTCTGAAAACTGAGGAATTGAATGGCAAAACTACAACTTTTATAACCGCTTTCGACATACATGGAAAAACTCTGTACGCAGAGCAACATATAGAAACGGATTTAAAGTATGAAGGTATTGAATTTATTTAGTTGCAATTGGTGTAGTTTTGTACAATTACACATGTGTATTATACTATTAGGATTTAAATTAAACAACTTCCAAATAAAAAAAACACTTTGACTTACGTTACATGATTGTGATTTGTTTATAATTTTAATAAAAGTAGAAAAAAGTTTAAATGACTAAAGCGAGTGGTTTATTTATTCAATTGGGATAAGATACAAACGCTGTTTTTGTGTGTTCATTCTAATTCGTCATACCAACAACATACTCACACTTGTCAAAGGAAAAATAATAGAAATCGTTCTTCAGTTATAAACATTTTAAAAATCTTTATTATTTTTCGTTTCTTTTCGCAAATATCTTTAAATTAAAAAATGTACACCGTGTGTTTATGCATTTAAAAAAGGAAAATTGATTTTATAATTGAGATGAGTACTATTTTCTTCACCTTTTAAAAATAGTAAAAAACTTACGTCAACACAATGGAGAATGCAAAATTATTAAAATATACCTTGGTTTAGTCAATTGACGACAAATAAGCATGTAATGTTTGATGCGGCTCATTCAATGAGACAAAATCACATACAACTGAAAGAACATTTCCGAAATCATTCAAAATGTTACCAATACATTAGCAAGTGCACATTAAACTTAGAGCAGGGACGAAGGGCGCGTCCATGTGCGCAGGCGTATAAAAATCGATGATACTTGAAAATGAAATTAGAAATTTGTTAACTACCTTTAATAACTTGGAATATTTTTATACAATATTACAAAAGCGTGGGATTGGATTTTTGTATAATAAATATAAATAAATAAAGAAGTGAAATTGCAATCTGTTTTGGTTTAATAATAATAAGTTGCGGTAACCGGAAAGTTTTCTCACAGTATATGGACAGATAGAGTTCGTTTCGTTATTTGTAACATATTAGATCGAACGTTTGCGGGTTCGATCAGTGATTACTTTACTGAATGTTTCGTACATATATTTTTTTTTGGAAAAATTATGTTTGAAGTCATTTTATGATGGTTTTACAATTATTATGAACCAAATTTAAATGTCGATGGTACAGTTTGTTGTGTAAACGCAAAACCGCCACGTTTTTCTATTAGTTTAGACTCCTTGGCAGCTTTGCGTTGATCTGCTGTCGTTACTACGTCTTGCAAAGCTTTTGTTTGCTCTGGTGTCAAACCAGAAGTAAGTATGGCATACCAGGCCTGATCCTGTGCAGACAAAGCTAAAAACAAAAAATAATAACAGTAATGAGTAGTCTGCACATAATATTTATATACACTGCAAAAAATTACCAGTAATGACGTTTTTGAAGGTTACAAATTCATCGATAGCATTTTCATCCTCTTCATCATCGAGGGTTGTAGTGTATCCCTCTAGAGCGGTTTCGTTTAATTCATCAATTGAATCTTCCTCATCTTCGTCGTCTTCCTCATCATCGTCTTTGATCTCAGACTTCATTTCAAATCCAGCTTCTGCAGCCTTGGCTTTACTGTACTCGGCTATTTGTTCCAAATAGTCGGGGGCGAATTCGTCGATATCATCTTCGTCACTAGATAAAGCCTCTGTTCGGAATTAAGAAAATAATAATATTGGAATCAAAAGACATTTCTCTAAAATGTTTTTGGTTAACACAAATGAATGGTAGAGTGATTATGATAATATGAAAGCATTTTCTTCAATTGACATGTAATTCTATAGCATATCCATACCTTCGCAATCGTCATTATCTTCTTCTTCCTCCTCTTCCTCTTCCTGGGCACGTGATTCATAAGCGCGTGTAAGTCCATCAAAAAGTAAAATTAAAGAAGGTATAATTTTATCAGCAACTTCGCTCAATACTTGTGGTTTGCTATCTCCCAGCGAAATGAGAGTACAGAGACCCAAAACACACAACTTGCGATCGTGAATTCTGAAATTGTAAGAAGATAAGGCTATTATTTACGTTTACTTGAAGGATAAACTAAGGCTTGTCCATACCCGAGGAAACAGTCGGTGTCGTGAATCCATTGTTTTATGAAATGTGATGATATGGGTTCATTATTTTGTTGAGACATCTTATCCAAAATCGATAACAATAATTGGGGATTATAGTATAAGGCGGCAATGACAACCTGTAGACACATGGTGCGCAATTCTGACGATTGCACCTCTCTTGTTAGGCGACCCAAGGCCAGCTCGACAAACACCGGTATTACAGAATCAATTTGACCTTTGCATTGCAATATAATTACTTCCAATAACTTGGCAGCATGACATTCGGGATCTTCACCTGGATTGCTAGTTAACATCTAATTCAGAATAGGAGCATTTATTTAACTTGCTTAGATATATTCCATGAACAAATGCTAATGCTAAAGTGATACTTACAGTTTTGCACATTTCAAACATGGCCAACAACCGACAAGGATCCGATAAAAATGCAGGTGTATCAATGGTGACGTAATTATGTAAAGCTGGCATCATATCAATGAAATAATCTATTCCACCTTTCTGGAACACTTGATATATCAGTTCCAACATTTTCCACATTTCAGGTGATATTGTTTTCGACGTTAAGTCGTACACCAAGGAGAAGGTTTCCTCGTAGAAGTCAGTAATATTATTTTGGAATATGTGACCCACAACATTGATAACAATTGGATGAAGATTGCTCATGACCTCTGGATGGTCCTCCATTACGCTCAACAAGGTCTCAATGGTGTTCAATAGACCCATAGCTGTGATTGCCTTTTCATCGCCTCCGTCTTCCGATTCTAAGACATGGCTAAATGTGGTTGCCAAATGTTGACAAATCTCAACAGCAACCGGTAACAATTGCTCGGAGAAAGTACCAACAATCTTTTGCAAAACATTTGTGAGATCTTCATTCTCGGTCTCTCTGATAATTGTCAATAGTTCTTTGGTGATTTCTTTAATTTGTGCTTCGCAATATTGTGCAGCATCATCTTGACAGCTCAAGTACATTTGCAGTCCAATAGCGGCTTCAACTTTAACAGGTAGTTCTTGATCGTTCAATAAGCAATTCGTTGTCAAACGAACAATTTCCGCCAAAATTTGAGGATTTTTCAATTGAATTTCGCTAAAGTAGTGAAGAACCCAACAAGCTCGGGCTCGCATGTGGCCCACAGGGTTTTGGAATTCGGGAAAAACGTACGTTGTCAACATGTTCTCCACTTGATCACGATATATGCGTTTCTTAAGTAAGACATCGGCCAACGTACCGATCATATGTAAAGCACCATCCTTTTGCTTGTTGTCGGCATTCGGTGATGTGATAATCTTTACAAATTGAAAAGAAATTTGTGAAATCGTACAGTATTCCATATGGTAATGTTTCTATAAGATTCTTACTTGCATAATAATGGTCATGGCTTTGGGTAAAATTCCCTTACGTTTCTTACAGCAAGAGTGAAGCAAAGACTGGGCAGCGGGCACTGGTGTGGCATAGTCCTCAAATATATCTGCAAAGGACAACGATTAAGTATGTTTTTCTTCGTATACATCCATTTTTTTATTTTTACCAAATTTCAGCTTGATATACTCGTGGGGATCCGATTCCCACAATTCCTGATCTTGCTCAGAGAAGGACATTAAGGGGAAGAGAACATCTTGAATAATTGCAACCATGTGAGGCTTAATTAACTTCCATGAGTAGGCGTGGCTAACACTATAAAGCAAAATATGTTAAAGCAATTCCGACTAGGTTGGTCTCATGCGAAGCACTTACGCGTTTTTAAGGTACGTCAAAACATCTGTTAAAACTCGCGGCGATACATAAACGCGGTTACGATATTGATCTAGAATCTTCAGTAAAACATCCAGAACACCCTGAGTGAATGTGGGCAGATACCATTCGGCGAATTTTTGATATTTGTCGCTGACAACATTTCGCGGGCTGCCATATCTGCAATTCGATATAAACCTTTATTGTTGTACACAGTACGTTTTAATAGATTCGTTAAAAACTTACCGCTCAAACATGCGCACCATAATGTGCAAAGCCCATTTTTTGGTCTTCCACCATGCAAACTCCGGTTTTTCATCTTCCTCCAGATGTGAACAGTCTGGCACAGGACGCTCGGCAATTTGACGGCATATTTCCATCCATTGCGAAAAGATATCCTTTGTTATCAATTCCAAAGGTAAACTGAATTGCGTTAGAGCATAGTATATTTTCAAGATTTGTTTTTGCATCAATACAGATGCTTCAGACTGATCGTTCATTAAGGTCAACATTAGTTGGTAAATCATTGGTAGAAGTAGATTCATGGCTTCATTGAGAGGTGCTCGTTCCTCGGCACGTTTATATTCGTAGGTCTTCACCAATTGATACATGGTAATTAAAGCTCCATTCCATCCCTTGATGTCTGGGTTCTGAAGATAAATGCTAATATTGTCCACCACTTGAGGCCAACGACCAGGAAAATCATTCTTTATGATGCAATTTAGACACACAGCCAGTTGGACACTGTAAAATTCATAACAAGACATAAAATAGAATAAATTATTGCGCGCCAAATAAAAAATATGAAATAAGATCGATTGATTGATTATGTACCGTAGAATTTCTGGAGAATGTACAATAGCATCAACAATAGAGCTGCGGATCATGGCACGATCCTGTTCGTGTATGGAGAATGGTATGGGTTCACCGGGTTGGACTTCGTGGTCAGCCCAATTGTTTGAAATCATATTTTTCAAGTAGACAGCACCGGCTTGACGTACAGGCTGATCCACATTGTTATTCATAACAATTTGTAAAATTGTTGGTACAAATCCAATAATTTTGTGAATCTAAAAATTAATGTTAAAAGTTATTGTTAATAAAATTTATATAGCTACATTATGATATTAATAATAAATTTGCTCGATAAACGATATTCTGACATAAAAAAATAACATCTGTAATTGAAATTGTGAGTTAATGAGTCATAGCTGCGGAAGGAAATGGAAGAGAATTAAAATTAAAAACATTATTAATGTACCAATTGGATAATGGCACATACACACATAATACCGTGTGTCTGGTCTGCTAATAATGTTTACAAATGGGCTAATACGAATTATGTATGTGTACATATATCGTATATGGAAGTTACCTCTTGCACATAATAGACAATTGATTCTTATGTTGGCTATCATATTATGTATTGACTATACCATGTGATTGCTCGTGACAAATAAGAGTGATATTTTTTCAGAAATAAATGAATACATTTAATCAAAGCACATGTTTGTGTTAAAATTGAATACCGCAGCATGGCATCAACATAAAATTACAATAATTGTTTCATATCACTTGTATTGAAAATTGAGTATTTGTTCATATTGATAGTTTTAGAAATGTATATATCAAAAATATACATTTCGTTCGCTTACTTGTTTTCAATATTAAAACATGTCATTTAACAATATTTTATGGATCCACGTCTGGAAGGGCCTACATCCAAACTATGGCATTTTAAAGGATTTGATGCATTCTGCAAACAACTACAGCGTAATTTGGCAATTTATTTCATTTCATTTATTTATTTAAATGTTGCGATGAAAAAGCCATTTGGCCAATAAGTATCACAACTATCAAAAAACTACAAAAGTGTACTCCAAAATCAAAGACTACAGAGTGATACAAAATAACTGCAACAAAGTCAAATGCCATAATTTTTACACTTTTTTGTTAATTTTATTAAATGAAAGCAAAACATATCGGAAATATCATCAAATTTTAGAATAATTTTAGATTTGTTCGAATTGGCACGAAATATTACCTTCCAATGAAACCAGGCCAATATTATTTTTTTTAGTGCCAACCTTGCTTTCCTATATACTCCAGACACAATAGTCCAACGGATTGGTATCCGGGGATTTTGGTGGCCATTGTGCGCTGGAAATGAAGGTAGGAACCTCATTTTGTAACCATTCTTGGGTGGCGCGTGCTGAGTGCCATGGTGCTGAGTCCTGTTGGAATGTTAAAGGTCTGCGGCCAAATTGTGCGTGCCCAAGGCTTTAATACACCCTCCAGGATATTTTCGCGATAATATTCCGCATTCATCCTGATGCCACGGTCGATAATACGAGCGGAGAGCGACCATCGGTTGTGGCGGCGTCCCACACCATCACCATGGCCGGCGCTTGAGTTCTGGTGGCCAACCGAAGCTGACATCTTTGGCAAGTAAACACGATAATGTTGTTGTTTTTTACAAACTGCTCGACAAAGAATGTTTTCTCATCGGAGAAAACCAATTTCGGCAGTTCACCACTTTCGGCCAAGCGAAGCAACAATTTAGCTCTTTTGAATCTATTTTCTTTCTATTGCGGTGTAAGTTCTTGCACTTTATGGAATTTCAATGGTTTTACCCCGAGCTCATTTTTCAATATTTGCCGAATGGAATATTGCGATATGTTCAGCTCACGAGCCATTTTTCGGCTTGTAAACAATATAATGAGCTGTCACTGGAATAATTTTAACAGCTGTTGAACGATTTTTCGTCGAGGATTCGTCCTTGGGTCAAACAAATTTTCATTCGGACCGGGCAATAAATGCGAACTGTACTTTGTTTACAAAAATACAGGGACAGACAGACGATCGGACATGCATAAATCGACTTAGAATGTGATTTAATGCAGATCATCAAAAGGAACTATCTCTCGCTTACTTCTCCATGTTACAAAGAAATGCACAAAGACATGTGGAGTAGGGTATAAAGAATAGGGATTGAATATTGGGCCCACTTTCATTTTAGCCGTGGTAAAGTCTTCAAAATACCATAGAGTCGATTGCATTGCTTTCCTGCTAAGTGCTTGTTATCTTTAGGGAGTTTCAATTTTAAAAACTGTTAAAAATGTCGCTAATATCACCAAAATACAAAATATTCGAATGTACCGCCTTATGAGTGATAAAAGAAATGAGAAATGAGGCGATTCCAGCAGTCTCCTGCTATGGAAGAGAGATTCCATTAAAAACACTACATAGCTAATATCAAACAAACGAACTATACGAAAACGTGGACCGACTCGAACTTAACCCGCCTGGTCACCAAATTCACATGTGTGCAAAATTGTAGCCTTCTATCTCAATTTGTTCGAAAGGTAGCGCGATTACAACAGACAGATGTAGAATTTGCGCTGATCAAGAATATACCCTCCATAGTATGGTGGAGGAAATAAAAACTTAATCAAACCTTCTTCCATGACTTAATGATATCTTTGTCACAAATATTTGCAGAAAGATATTTATAAAATATATGTTCTTTAGTCTAAGTGCTATTCAAATAGTCTTTGAATTGAAAATTACCGGCTTTAAGTTTAAAAGAAAATGATTGATTTTTACTTGTCTATAAGAGAAATTCCGAAAAATTATAAATTATTAGAGCTAATTTTGTAGTACGTCGTATTTTAGGTAAAGCTATTTAACGCTTTTAAACGATACCCATATAGCTTACTTTAAAAATGTCAGGACCCACACAATCATGTTAGAATTAGTTGTATTCCTAAACCTGCAATACAATGCAGTTTTTACATGCAAGCCAAAAAAAAAAAATCAATAAATTACTTTAATTTAAAAATGTACATTTTTGGATCGTGGTTTAGCAATTTAAAAAAGCAACTCTTAAAATGTTTAATTTGAATGTTTTTATATTATTCATCTAAATCTCAGTTAAAGGAACATCCATCCATTCAATATCAAGGTAAAAGTGAAAATCCCGATGATTATTGACTGTTTTGTAAATTAAGTAGTCTTGAAAATCTATAGTGGCTGTCCAAGATTTTAGTAATTTGAAAATTATATTCCAAATATGTTTCATTAATCTTATACTAAATCAGTTAAATTTCATGTAGTTTATTCCAAATTGATTTGAAGAAAAATTGAAGTAGTAGCTAAACTCAATTTGTTCCCAATGATGTTTTTTGTAAAAATGTTAGATGTATTTCATGTACATATCGTATAAAAATACACCTTGCATTCTTCTTTGCTAAACATTTGGATAAAAAGACAACATCAAATAAAATTTCGTTCAAATACATCGAGAACGCCGACACATTATGTTATAATTGGATATTCGACTTTATTTTAAATGTTCAATATTTTCAAGATTCCACTGTTTAAAATAATTTTATTTTGACAGTAGTAGGCAACATTTTCCCATTGTCGGCCTGACATGTTGCTAAAGCGGGTATACAATTTTTGTTTCTTGGTACGGAACATATAATGATTTAAATTATGCATTTTTTGCAAAGAAAATGAACCAAATAAGGAAGATTTTCCGACTTTGCAACTTTGTTCTCTAAATTCAAAACAAATATTTTTTCTGGATTCCACAAAGATTTCACATTTTAATTTTTTTTTGTTATTTATAAACAGAATGCATTTTTTACACCTACCACTACATGTTGATGATGCTGCAAGTAAATGCTTACCTTTTAAAAAAAAAAAAAAACGCAGCAATGACAACACCTTCATATGTCAAAAATTGTTTTGCATCCCAATTGGACTTTGCTAATTTTCGTATAAAAGTAGCTGAACAAAGTAAAATAACATGCAATTCGATAATACAGGCATCCTTCATTAAGGATTGAATATCGATTTTAAACAAAAATTATATGAAGAAATACTTTTTCATTTAGAACATTCATACACACACCCTAAAACATAATTAAGTGAATTGAAAAAGCACATGTTTTTGTAGTCATGTCATCACACATAAGCCGCAAAAAAGGAAAACATGGCAATAAGTTAAAACAAATAGTTTGTTGCTTCTTCGGCGACGACAGGAATTATCTTCTTTGGAGTCCTAACAATTCTGTTATGCTGTTAGTATTAACTTTGAATATTTTGCAATTTGTACTAACCTGTGCCAATTGGTCTTCTGCCGCCTTCCTCTGTTCGGGATTAGGATCAATTGTTGCACGCAACAGCTCCGTCAGCTTTTGGTGATCCATATTTTCTTGCGTTAATTAATATATCCGTGTACAAACAAATGCAGCGATAAACCACACAATTTGTGTGCTACAATTTCAATTATAGCAATAATAAAAGCACAAACAATTCGCAAAATTATATGAAAATATGAATCTGTGGTGAACGGAAAACGTGTTAGCACCCGAAACCCGCGAGCAGAGTATGATGCCGAAGTATTCGGCCGCCGTCGTCTGTATATAAAATATATACCAGTCGGCGCCGGTGTTCGATGAACACAATTCGGGCGACTAACCCTGCGTTTACAAAAGACAAGACAAGTGGGTTAATTTGTTATTTATCAAAAGCAAGGTAGAATTAAGAAGGTAAAGTTTATCATATGTTTACAATATTATTCATTTGACAACATCTCATTGTCAAAATGATTATCACAAATCAGGGATGGAAACCTGCTTTCTATGCAGTGAAATTCCACAAGGTAAATTACAGAAAATGCAAAGATGGGAATGCGTATTTGAAACGATTTTACCTTCTTAATTTTACCACGATATATCGAAATGTTCTGAAATTTTAGTGTCCAGTTTTTAGACCCTACAATACTATGTATTTGGTGTATTATAAGTTTGATTGGGCCAAAAAGTATGTAACACATGGAAATATTGGTCTTGCATATAATGTTACATATGGATCCTGTTATCTCGCGGAGCTGAGCCGATCTAGCTATATATGTCCTTCCGTCCGTCTGTTCATGTTTATTGGTAATCACGCTACAGGTAACAATTATGGCCCGATCCTCACGAAATTGAGCATGTTTAGCATTTAGGACGTTTATTATGTGATAGGATATCACATGGTCGGCCACTACACAATATGTTAGAAGCCCCCTTATGTCCAAATCCATTTTGGAAGATTTCGCTTTTGAAATTATGTCACTGAGTACTGCCCCGATATCACCCTTAGTATTTTGAACACGAACATTTGCCCAATATTTACGCAAATCGTCGTGCTGTTAGTTTTTGTGGTCAGTTTTTACAACTAAATATTATCTAATGGTCATCCAAAATGCTAGAATTCTTCTCTGTCCTTAACTCTCTTCTCAAGGGTGTCGATTGGCTTCAATTGTGTGATTTTGAAAATTTTTCTGTTTTTGGTTCATTTGAACCTCTAAATATTTTGCCATCATCACCAAAAGAATCATCTAAATTTAGATTCATCTTTATGATTTGTTTTTACTACGATATTTGGCTATATTCGTCAACGAAATCAGCATAAACAAGCTAGAAGTTCGCCTTTGTGTATTTTGGATTTCGGCTGTAAGTTATTTTCAGCGTTTCGGTAGAATGTATTTTATCCTAAACTCTAACTTCATGCGAGATTTCGTGTCTTTTGGTTTCTATTTGTGATCTTTTTAACGGCTGAAAAATCAGGAACATTTTTGTTAGTCCATTTCAACTCATAAATATATTGCGGATATCTTTGAAAACAATAGGCCTAGCCCTTCTTAGTCTAACCCTACCCTTGTGAAATTTTTCTTGAGGATCGGTCGATAATTGCAATCTGTATATGATAACCCCAACCTGTGTTGTAAGGTGAAAAAATATTACAAAATGTATACTTCAATATTATAAATCAAATTGAAAAAATCGCATGCGATAAAAAGTATGAAAAAATAAAAAATGTCACAAAATACTACAAAATCTATATTAACATCATTATTGGCATCTTGTTTTTGTGTGTTTCTTAGATTTTATTTTTTCGTGTCAAGAGAGCATTCTGAATTGACAACATTTGTCAAGCCATTCTTGAGATATAAGCATTCTAGCTAACATCCCCTTCCTTTGTATATATACATTGTATATAATTCGCTATATTTATCCGATATATTTACCAGCGGCATCTACGTAACAGTCAGAATTGACCTGTTCGTCTATTTGTGATTTCGCCGGGATTAAAAATATTCGCGGTTTAATGGAAAATTTGACTTTTATTAACACAAATGTTATGGTCTATTTCACCCACTAAATATTACCTGATGACCATTAAAATTAGTCCTAATCTCAAGCCCCATGCTGATTTACGCGTCGCATGGGGCTTGCGACCTGTAGAGCAACTGCAAAATCATGAAATTTTTCAGTTTTTGGTCCATTTCAACCCCTAAATATTATGCGATCATCTCCAAAAGCAATAGGGTTCTATTCTGGTCCTAGCCCCACACTTGAATTTTTTGTAATTTACCTTGTAAAATGTCACTGAATAAAACAAGGTCCCCATCTCTGACTTCTTTATATACACCGGATTTAGAAATAAAAGTTTTAACAATGAGATGTCGTCAAATCGATAATTTTGAAAAAAAATGTAAACACATGATTATATGACTTTAACTTCTACCATTCTACCATGGTAGAATAATATAGGTAGACGCGTCGACACAGCTGCTGGGACAATGAACTGTCAAACCAACTTTGAAATTGAAAATGTTGAATGAAAAATTATTTAAATTTGTAAAAATTTTTGAAAAACGCGAATTTTAATAGCCTCCGAAAATAAGGAAAAATATAAAAATCTATTTATATTTGCAAAAAACATTAAAATTTTTTGACATATCAGTGCTCCCAAGCGTTTATGCATCTACCTGTATTCTTCTGCCATGCATTCCACCATGATAAAACTCTTTACCATGACAAATTTTCAGGTTGTTTTGAGGTAAAATTATCTTCTCCTCGTATCATAAAAATTTTAGTTATTAATAAACCAACAAAAATTATATTTTTCTGTATTTTAATTTATCTTACAAACTTTACAGATTATAAATAATATTTATTTATTTTTAAAATAATTGCAAGAATTTAATTCATCTGGGCCGATGCAAGCAGCGAATGACATAAATATTGGCAGTACATTCTGTTCTAATACTCCAGTAAATAAATGGGACCATGGACCTAAAAAGAAGGAAATACATATTATAAACCATTAAATATTTATCGTTTTCACTAAACGTTTACAAATGGATAAAGTTAAACCATACAATATGGAGGTAGAACAGTTTCGTAAAACTTTAGAAATACAGCCCTGAGGCTATGCCCGCTTTCTTTCCGAATTATTCAAAATTAAATGCGACAGGTTGTTTTTATTTATTTGATATTTTTCCTCATTTTTTAAATGCGCTAAAAAGCGTGAAAAATTAATGAAATTCCTAGATTTTCATTCACAAATATAACCTAAACTGTACAATCTTTCGATTCCATGGTAAATCTGGTTAATAGTACTCGTCCCGCAAAGCACGTTTCTTCCAATCATTTGGTCTGTTCCAGAACTGCAAAAATGTAATAATTTTTACTACGATAACCGATTTTGATCAAAATTAGTAAATTCTTTCTGTTTCTGTAACTGAGCAATTCTTTTTGAAAAATTTTTTTTTCACTACATGGAAAGCAGATTCCCATCTCTGATTTGTATGTGTACAATGGACTTAAAAATGTACATTTTGACAATGAGATGTCGCCAAATGAATAATTTTTAAAACTTGTAAACATATGATTGTGTGACCTTACCTTCTTAATTCTACGATGGGTTTTTTTGTGTATATTTTTTATAGTTCAATGTATTAATGCTTTGATCTGTTTTAACCTTAAAAGTGAAAATAGATAAAACGCTTGTTTAAATGGCTTATGTCATTGGCTAGCTTCTTCGAAGAGGAACAAAGGAGTTTTGGGTTGACTTAGTTCGATTTTGGTCCTATGCTCCTTGATTTTTACCGTAGAAGCCAGTCGATGACTTAAGCCAGTCAAAAAAGCGTTTTATGTATTCTCGCCTTAAGTCCTGGTTTAGACGAGTTTACTTGCGGCAGTTTTTATGGTTCTATTTTCAAAATTGATATTTTAATTTATACAAGGGAATTTGTTATCAGAAATTTTCTTTTCGCTTAAACGTAACAACAACCAAACAAACAAAGTTAGCCTAAACTTATTCGTTCTTTTACGAAAAAATAGAAGATAACATTGGAAGATGCATTACTTTCCTTTCCTTTTTTTAACATCAATTGTCACTATATCAAGTTTTTTAGTTTTTGCATTATCTTTTGGTAGTGAATGCATACGTAAACAAACCTCGGCTGAGCGGCTTTTATATCTTCCTAAAGTTGTATCGAAACACACAAGGTTAACCCACTAGATCTATTAAAAGCACTACAGCATTCGTTAACATAATTTTACTTACCGCTGGAATAGATCGCAACGTCACCACCACCATGTGTTTCATCAATCATAGGCGCGGCCGCCGGGTATTGAAAATCTTTGCCATCTGAAATATTTCAATATTTGTCAATTTATGAATTATCGCACATATTTGTAATACTTACCAATATTTGAAAATTTTCTTACATCATAACGTTTGACTACATGATCGTTCGTATTGAAAAGTAAGCCATTTTCTGAGTTATCCATATCGGACCTCGGAGAGGAATAAAAGAATTTTGAAAATGCTGGTCCATTTGCATAAGACAATGTTGTATATGGCAGGAAATCAATATCGGTCACGATACCCATATAGCTTACTTTAAAAATGTCAGGACCCACACAATCATGTTAGAATTAGTTGTATTCCTAAACCTGCAATACAATGCAGTTTTTACATGCAAGCCAAAAAAAAAAATCAATAAATTACTTTAATTTAAAAATGTACATTTTTGGATCGTGGTTTAGCAATTTAAAAAAGCAACTCTTAAAATGTTTAATTTGAATGTTTTATATTATTCATCTAAATCTCAGTTAAAGGAACATCCATCCATTCAATATCAAGGTAAAAGTGAAAATCCCGATGATTATTGACTGTTTTGTAAATTAAGTAGTCTTGAAAATCTATAGTGGCTGTCCAAGATTTTAGTAATTTGAAAATTATATTCCAAATATGTTTCATTAATCTTATACTAAATCAGTTAAATTTCATGTAGTTTATTCCAAATTGATTTGAAGAAAAATTGAAGTAGTAGCTAAACTCAATTTGTTCCCAATGATGTTTTTTGTAAAAATGTTAGATGTATTTCATGTACATATCGTATAAAAATACACCTTGCATTCTTCTTTGCTAAACATTTGGATAAAAAGACAACATCAAATAAAATTTCGTTCAAATACATCGAGAACGCCGACACATTATGTTATAATTGGATATTCGACTTTATTTTAAATGTTCAATATTTTCAAGATTCCACTGTTTAAAATAATTTTATTTTGACAGTAGTAGGCAACATTTTCCCATTGTCGGCCTGACATGTTGCTAAAGCGGGTATACAATTTTTGTTTCTTGGTACGGAACATATAATGATTGAAATTATGCATTTTTTGCAAAGAAAATGAACCAAATAAGGAAGATTTTCCGACTTTGCAACTTTGTTCTCTAAATTCAAAACAAATATTTTTTCTGGATTCCACAAAGATTTCACATTTTAATTTTTTTTTTGTTATTTATAAACAGAATGCATTTTTTACACCTACCACTACATGTTGATGATGCTGCAAGTAAATGCTTACCTTTTTTAAAAAAAAAAACGCAGCAATGACAACACCTTCATATGTCAAAAATTGTTTTGCATCCCAATTGGACTTTGCTAATTTTCGTATAAAAGTAGCTGAACAAAGTAAAATAACATGCAATTCGATAATACAGGCATCCTTCATTAAGGATTGAATATCGATTTTAAACAAAAATTATATGAAGAAATACTTTTTCATTTAGAACATTCATACACACACCCTAAAACATAATTAAGTGAATTGAAAAAGCACATGTTTTGTAGTCATGTCATCACACATAAGCCGCAAAAAAGGAAAACATGGCAATAAGTTAAAACAAATAGTTTGTTGCTTCTTCGGCAACGACAGGAATTATCTTCTTTGGAGTCCTAACAATTCTGTTATGCTGTTAGTATTAACTTTGAATATTTTGCAATTTGTACTAACCTGTGCCAATTGGTCTTCTGCCGCCTTCCTCTGTTCGGGATTAGGATCAATTGTTGCACGCAACAGCTCCGTCAGCTTTTGGTGATCCATATTTTCTTGCGTTAATTAATATATCCGTGTACAAACAAATGCAGCGAGAAACCACACAATTTGTGTGCTACAATTTCAATTATAGCAATAATAAAAGCACAAACAATTCGCAAAATTATATGAAAATATGAATCTGTGGTGAACGGAAAACGTGTTAGCACCCGAAACCCGCGAGCAGAGTATGATGCCGAAGTATTCGGCCGCCGTCGTCTGTATATAAAATATATACCAGTCGGCGCCGGTGTTCGATGAACACAATTCGGGCGACTAACCCTGCGTTTACAAAAGACAAGACAAGTGGGTTAATTTGTTATTTATCAAAAGCAAGGTAGAATTAAGAAGGTAAAGTTTATCATATGTTTACAATATTATTCATTTGACAACATCTCATTGTCAAAATGATTATCACAAATCAGGGATGGAAACCTGCTTTCTATGCAGTGAAATTCCACAAGGTAAATTACAGAAAATGCAAAGATGGGAATGCGTATTTGAAACGATTTTACCTTCTTAATTTTACCACGATATATCGAAATGTTCTGAAATTTTAGTGTCCAGTTTTTAGACCCTACAATACTATGTATTTGGTGTATTATAAGTTTGATTGGGCCAAAAAGTATGTAACACATGGAAATATTGGTCTTGCATATAATGTTACATATGGATCCTGTTATCTCGCGGAGCTGAGCCGATCTAGCTATATATGTCCTTCCGTCCGTCTGTTCATGTTTATTGGTAATCACGCTACAGGTAACAATTATGGCCCGATCCTCACGAAATTGAGCATGTTTAGCATTTAGGACGTTTATTATGTGATAGGATATCACATGGTCGGCCACTACACAATATGTTAGAAGCCCCCTTATGTCCAAATCCATTTTGGAAGATTTCGCTTTTGAAATTATGTCACTGAGTACTGCCCCGATATCACCCTTAGTATTTTGAACACGAACATTTGCCCAATATTTACGCAAATCGTCGTGCTGTTAGTTTTTGTGGTCAGTTTTTACAACTAAATATTATCTAATGGTCATCCAAAATGCTAGAATTCTTCTCTGTCCTTAACTCTCTTCTCAAGGGTGTCGATTGGCTTCAATTGTGTGATTTTGAAAATTTTTCTGTTTTTGGTTCATTTGAACCTCTAAATATTTTGCCATCATCACCAAAAGAATCATCTAAATTTAGATTCATCTTTATGATTTGTTTTTACTACGATATTTGGCTATATTCGTCAACGAAATCAGCATAAACAAGCTAGAAGTTCGCCTTTGTGTATTTTGGATTTCGGCTGTAAGTTATTTTCAGCGTTTCGGTAGAATGTATTTTATCCTAAACTCTAACTTCATGCGAGATTTCGTGTCTTTTGGTTTCTATTTGTGATCTTTTTAACGGCTGAAAAATCAGGAACATTTTTGTTAGTCCATTTCAACTCATAAATATATTGCGGATATCTTTGAAAACAATAGGCCTAGCCCTTCTTAGTCTAACCCTACCCTTGTGAAATTTTTCTTGAGGATCGGTCGATAATTGCAATCTGTATATGATAACCCCAACCTGTGTTGTAAGGTGAAAAAATATTACAAAATGTATACTTCAATATTATAAATCAAATTGAAAAAATCGCATGCGATAAAAAGTATGAAAAAATAAAAAATGTCACAAAATACTACAAAATCTATATTAACATCATTATTGGCATCTTGTTTTTGTGTGTTTCTTAGATTTTATTTTTTCGTGTCAAGAGAGCATTCTGAATTGACAACATTTGTCAAGCCATTCTTGAGATATAAGCATTCTAGCTAACATCCCCTTCCTTTGTATATATACATTGTATATAATTCGCTATATTTATCCGATATATTTACCAGCGGCATCTACGTAACAGTCAGAATTGACCTGTTCGTCTATTTGTGATTTCGCCGGGATTAAAAATATTCGCGGTTTAATGGAAAATTTGACTTTTATTAACACAAATGTTATGGTCTATTTCACCCACTAAATATTACCTGATGACCATTAAAATTAGTCCTAATCTCAAGCCCCATGCTGATTTACGCGTCGCATGGGGCTTGCGACCTGTAGAGCAACTGCAAAATCATGAAATTTTTCAGTTTTTGGTCCATTTCAACCCCTAAATATTATGCGATCATCTCCAAAAGCAATAGGGTTCTATTCTGGTCCTAGCCCCACACTTGAATTTTTTGTAATTTACCTTGTAAAATGTCACTGAATAAAACAAGGTCCCCATCTCTGACTTCTTTATATACACCGGATTTAGAAATAAAAGTTTTAACAATGAGATGTCGTCAAATCGATAATTTTGAAAAAAAATGTAAACACATGATTATATGACTTTAACTTCTACCATTCTACCATGGTAGAATAATATAGGTAGACGCGTCGACACAGCTGCTGGGACAATGAACTGTCAAACCAACTTTGAAATTGAAAATGTTGAATGAAAAATTATTTAAATTTGTAAAAATTTTTGAAAAACGCGAATTTTAATAGCCTCCGAAAATAAGGAAAAATATAAAAATCTATTTATATTTGCAAAAAACATTAAAATTTTTTGACATATCAGTGCTCCCAAGCGTTTATGCATCTACCTGTATTCTTCTGCCATGCATTCCACCATGATAAAACTCTTTACCATGACAAATTTTCAGGTTGTTTTGAGGTAAAATTATCTTCTCCTCGTATCATAAAAATTTTAGTTATTAATAAACCAACAAAAATTATATTTTCTGTATTTTAATTTATCTTACAAACTTTACAGATTATAAATAATATTTATTTATTTTTAAAATAATTGCAAGAATTTAATTCATCTGGGCCGATGCAAGCAGCGAATGACATAAATATTGGCAGTACATTCTGTTCTAATACTCCAGTAAATAAATGGGACCATGGACCTAAAAAGAAGGAAATACATATTATAAACCATTAAATATTTATCGTTTTCACTAAACGTTTACAAATGGATAAAGTTAAACCATACAATATGGAGGTAGAACAGTTTCGTAAAACTTTAGAAATACAGCCCTGAGGCTATGCCCGCTTTCTTTCCGAATTATTCAAAATTAAATGCGACAGGTTGTTTTTATTTATTTGATATTTTTCCTCATTTTTTAAATGCGCTAAAAAGCGTGAAAAATTAATGAAATTCCTAGATTTTCATTCACAAATATAACCTAAACTGTACAATCTTTCGATTCCATGGTAAATCTGGTTAATAGTACTCGTCCCGCAAAGCACGTTTCTTCCAATCATTTGGTCTGTTCCAGAACTGCAAAAATGTAATAATTTTTACTACGATAACCGATTTTGATCAAAATTAGTAAATTCTTTCTGTTTCTGTAACTGAGCAATTCTTTTTGAAAAATTTTTTTTTCACTACATGGAAAGCAGATTCCCATCTCTGATTTGTATGTGTACAATGGACTTAAAAATGTACATTTTGACAATGAGATGTCGCCAAATGAATAATTTTTAAAACTTGTAAACATATGATTGTGTGACCTTACCTTCTTAATTCTACGATGGGTTTTTTTGTGTATATTTTTTATAGTTCAATGTATTAATGCTTTGATCTGTTTTAACCTTAAAAGTGAAAATAGATAAAACGCTTGTTTAAATGGCTTATGTCATTGGCTAGCTTCTTCGAAGAGGAACAAAGGAGTTTTGGGTTGACTTAGTTCGATTTTGGTCCTATGCTCCTTGATTTTTACCGTAGAAGCCAGTCGATGACTTAAGCCAGTCAAAAAGCGTTTATGTATTCTCGCCTTAAGTCCTGGTTTAGACGAGTTTACTTGCGGCAGTTTTTATGGTTCTATTTTCAAAATTGATATTTTAATTTATACAAGGGAATTTGTTATCAGAAATTTTCTTTTCGCTTAAACGTAACAACAACCAAACAAACAAAGTTAGCCTAAACTTATTCGTTCTTTTACGAAAAAATAGAAGATAACATTGGAAGATGCATTACTTTCCTTTCCTTTTTTTAACATCAATTGTCACTATATCAAGTTTTTTAGTTTTTGCATTATCTTTTGGTAGTGAATGCATACGTAAACAAACCTCGGCTGAGCGGCTTTTATATCTTCCTAAAGTTGTATCGAAACACACAAGGTTAACCCACTAGATCTATTAAAAGCACTACAGCATTCGTTAACATAATTTTACTTACCGCTGGAATAGATCGCAACGTCACCACCACCATGTGTTTCATCAATCATAGGCGCGGCCGCCGGGTATTGAAAATCTTTGCCATCTGAAATATTTCAATATTTGTCAATTTATGAATTATCGCACATATTTGTAATACTTACCAATATTTGAAAATTTTCTTACATCATAACGTTTGACTACATGATCGTTCGTATTGAAAAGTAAGCCATTTTCTGAATTATCCATATCGGACCTCGGAGAGGAATAAAAGAATTTTGAAAATGCTGGTCCATTTGCATAAGACAATGTTGTATATGGCAGGAAATCAATATCGGTCATATCGGTACCGACGCCGGTAATTGTGTTTCCCAATTTGGGATAACCATTAATGGTCATTGTGTGGCCATGGTCAGCGCTAATGACAATGAGTGTTTCATTTGGATCTGTTAATTCATAAGCCCGTTTAATGGCCTCATCAAACTGGACGGTCTCATCTAAAGCCTTTTTAGCTTTCGTTTCATGATGGGCATGATCAATGCGACCACCTTCCACAAATAAAAAGAAACCATTCGACTCGTTACTTAGAATCGATATAGCAGCTGAGGTCATTTCTTGTAGAGTGGGCTGAGAGCCGTCATTGTCTAAATTGTAGGACATATGACTATTGGCGAAAATTCCAATTAAATTATTTGTACTGTCAGTATCAAGTTCCAGCAATTGTTGTCTGGTGTGAACAAACGAAGTGGTTCCGTCTTTAGCCTGAATCCACTCGTCTATAATATTTCTTCCATCCAATCGCTCACCAGCATAGCCAGAATAATGTATTGAAGAATTGGGCAAAAGTTTAGCACCACCTCCGCCCATAATAACGTTAAACTGTTTTGAAACTGTGTTTTCAACTAATTGTCTACCAATATCAATACATTGTTCTGGATCTGCATGCCGGGTAATGACATCGAAATCACTCTCAAAGTCCCGGTGTGAGGTGTGCGCATATGCACCCGCCGGACTGGCATGTGTGACACGCGTAGTTGTGACAATTCCTGTAGCTTTTCCAGCTTTTTGGGCCCAACTGGCTATGGACTCCAATTGATTTTCGGCCTTCAGTGCTTCTTGGCATTCTTTTAGTTTAACGCGTGCAGATACTCCGATAGTTTCGAAATTTGCCTTTATACCCGTGTGATAAGCAGTGGCTGTACAGGCAGAGTCAGCTACTTGTCGATCTGCACAATAAGTCTGTAAACACAAATTGATAAACGTAATAAATTTATTTAACATTTCTATGGAAATGCATTTATCAAAAGATCTATAAAGAAGAGCGATTGTTTCCTGTAAGATTTAAGGCCAGATATCATATTTTGTCAGAGTCATATGTAAAGTGAATTTTTTCGCTTTTATCACCATCATTCATGGCATAAAAAATCTTTTACCTTAGATAGCCCTACGTAAGGGAATCTTTCCATGAATAACGAATTTCGTTCTCCCACAAGACCTTTCTTCTGGCCATCATATATGCGACTAGCTGTAACTGTTGGTACTGACATTCCATCGCCAATAAAAAAGATCACATTTTTTGCAACATTTTTATTTTCAGACAGGTATAGTTTATTTCGCAGTGAGCGTTGGGAATCGGTTAACCAAAATCGTTCATCTCTTAGATCATCAGGGTTGCTTATTTTATATGAATCATCTGAAAAAGAAGTATGAATAAAAGTCGAGTATTAAAAAAATACATATACAGGGTGAGATAAAAAAACTGCAACAAAGTCACACATTTTTTTAATTTTATTGAATGAAAGCAAATAATGTCGGAAATAGCATATAGATTTGTTCGAATTGGTCAACTTTGGCACGAATTATGGCCTTCAATCGGCCAATGAAACCGTCATACGCTGCCCGAATGTTGCTCTGCTGTATTTTGGCCCATTCCCGGCGAAGCGCTTGCTTGCGATGATCGACACTGCTTTCCAAAATAATCCAGACACAATAGCCCAATTGGGTATCGGGAGATTTTGATGGCCATTGTTTCGTGGGAATGAAGCGAGTGGTGGCGCGTGCTGAGTCCTGTTGGAATGTCCAAGGTTTGCGGCTAAAATGTTTGCGTGCCCAAGGCTATAATACACCCTCCAGAATATTTTCGCTATAATATTCGGCGTTTATTCTGATGCCACTGTCGATTAATACGAGCGGAGAGCGACCATCATGACCGGCGCTTGAATTCTGGTGGCCAACCGATGGTGCGCATTTTCAGCTGACATCTTTGGTCAAACATGATCATTTTGTTTGTTTACAAACTGCTGGTCAACGAATGTTTTCTCATCGGAGAAACCCAAATTTGGGAGTTCACCGTTTTCGGTCAAGCTAAGCAACTCTTTAGCTCGTTTGAGTCTATTTTCTTTCTGTTGTGGTTTAAGTTCTTGCACTTTTTGAAATTTCAATGGCTTTACCCCGAGCTCATTTTTCAATATTTGCCGAATGGAATATTGCGATATGTTCAGCTCACGAGCCATTTTCGGCCCTGCGACGCGGGTTTCAATCAAGTCGCTTCTTTACTTTTCGAACCATTTCTGCTTATGTTGCTATTTTCTTCCGTCCACTTCCTTGACGTCAAGCTACGCTTCCAGTATCACAGTAACGAGCGATGATATGAGACACAAAAGATTTATTCACTTTTAAATGCTGGAGTGCTCTAACGATAGCCACTTGTGGATTTCCAGCCAAATATAAAGAAATCACACTATCATCACGAATAATTTTTTTTCTGAAAAATTCTCACCAAAATGCTTTTGTAAACAATATAATGAGATATTAATGACAGCAGTCTGAATTTGGTTGCAGTTTTTTCATCTCACCCTGTATAATACATGTCAGAAAGATAGAGATAGTTGAAGTGAACAGTAAAATTAAGAAGGTAAAATCATTTCAAATAAGAATATCCATCTCTGTATTTTCTGTAATATATCTTGTCAAATATCACTGTATAGAAAACAGGATCCCATCTCTGATTTGCATATATATACAATGGAATTATAAATATAAATTTTGATAATGAGAGGTTTTCAAATGAATAATTTAAAAAAAATGAAAACCTATGATCTCATGACTATACCTTCTTAATTCTACCGTGGTGAAAATATTCATGTCACTCAATTTAAAAAATTAAAAAAAGTACAACTGAAGGATTCGAAGGTCAACTACGTATATCAGCATGTTGACTATGCAAAACCGTGCTGGGATCCATCTGCATAAAAAGACAAAACTAGCTTTCCGTTGTGTATATGTTCATTATCTCACCTTAAAGATGGAAGTACATAAAAGGCTTTTTTAACTGGCTTAAGTCATCGGCTGACTTCTTCGTAGAGGAACAAATGAGTTTTAGGTTGACATAGTTCGATTTTGGCCCTAGGCTCCTTTGTTCATTTCCGAAGAAACCAGTCGATGACTTTAGCCAGCCAGATAAGCGCTTTATGTATTTCCACCTTTAGTTTGATTTCGGTTCTAGGCTCCTTTGTTCTTTTCCGAAGCAGCCAGCCGATAACTTATGCCAATCAGAAAAGCGTTTTATGTATTCTCACCTTAAGTCATCGGTGTTAAACAACAATGTTCACGAACTAACAATGTCCAGGATTAGAAAAAACGTAAACAACCAGACAGTTTTATGCCATTTGTTGTGAAATCTTAAGATATAACATGGTAGAATTAAGAAGGTAAAATCATGCAATCATATGTTTACAATTTTTTCAAAATTATTCATTTGACAACGTCTCATTGTCAAAATGTGTTTTCATAAATCCATTGTACATACACAAATCAGAGATGGGAACCTGCTTTCCATGCATTGGAATTTGACAAGCTAAACTACAGAAAATGCAAAGATGGGACTGCTTATTTGAAATTACTTTACCTTTTTAATTTTATCATGAGAAATAAATGGAAAATTTTGAATTTTTTGCAGTATGTAAAGCAATATGTGACAGACTGTATATATGTCACAGGCCTTGTGAACTCAAACGTTGTTTACTATATATTGATATTTGCTTAAAAATGTTGATTGTGGATAACTTTTGGTGTTAGCACAATAATACATGTGCTAACAAATATTAATTTAACAAAAGAACACCCAATCGAGCAATCATGCATAATAGTTAGAGACAGTTGAATCTACAGGAAAGAAAGAAGAAAGAATAAAAAGTACCCCTTTACCCATAACCATTTCTAACCTTCCACCCATAACAGTTTAGCGCTTAGTGACATACCCAAAATACAAGACTATTGAATTCCTGTATTTACTGTCAATAACACTAGTCGGTCCCAAAAAATAAACAAAAAATATCTAATATTTCTTTGTTATTTTCCGTCTCTATTTTTATAATTTTTTATTGGATAGTAAAACTACAAAGAGTGATATGTGCCCAGAAAGTACCAGAGCATTTTTGACTGGCATAAGTTTTCGGCTGGCTTCTTCGTAAAAGAACAAAGGAGACTATGTCCAAAATCAAACTAAGTCAACCTAAAACTTCCTTGTTCCTTCCACATTAACAATTTTTTTACTGGCTTAAGAAAAGAGTTGGCCTTAAAGAAGTGTTAAATTGACAGAGTTAAATGTCGGCCTATGATTTATACTTTCCTTCCCTACGATCCTTTGTTCTTTTACCTAAAACTCCTTGGTTCATTTACAAAGAAGCCAACCGATTACTTAAGCCAGTCAAAAAAGCGTTTAATGTATTTTCACCTTTACTCGGCCATTTTCACCTTTAAGCCCGGAAAAAAGCTTTTTATCTATTTTTACATAAATTGCCTATCTTTTAGGTTTTTGATAGATAATGTTTGGCTATTTTTTGCATTCTCTTTCGGTTGTGTATATATACGTAAACTAACATCAGCTGAGCGGCATTTATATCCTCTAAGGGTGTATCCATGGTAGAAGAATATAGGTAGACGCATCGACACAGCTGATGGGACAATGAACTCTCAAACCAATTTTGGAATTGACAGTTTAAAATGAAAAATCATTCAATTTTGTAAAAATTGTTGAAAAACGTATATTATAGCTTCCTTCGATTGACATCGTATAAGAAAAAAACATTTTAAATTTTTTGATACATCAATCTTCCCAAGCGTTGATACATCTACCTGTATTCTTCTACCATGGGTGTATCTAAACACACAAAAGTGGGTTAGTCTTCAATAGTATAAATTCGTGTTTTTACAATATTGTTGATATAAAAATGTAACATAAAACCATAAATCTCTTAAACAATGTGAATATTGAAATGTAGAAAATTTTAATTTTTGTAGCATTGGAGCCAAGAATTGATGGATTTATCTCACATTAGGCATTAACAATTCGAAAACGTAATAAACAGATAGACTTGAAGAACTTTATTACTTTACCGTGTTTTTTTTATAATATAAATTTTTTGACTTTGTAAATTTAATTTGAACATATAATACAAGTTTAAATTGAATAGATTATAAACTGTATACTAAGCGCACCAATTGTATCATTTATTTAAGTTTTGACATGTTAAAGCTCTCTCACACACACAAATTCACAAAACACATCAACGTGATTTTCATATCTTGTTGGACATTTTTAAAAAAATATTACTTCCAATATTTAATTAGTATTTTTTTATAATTTACTAACGAACAATGATAAATGAAAACCAAATTACAAAAACCACACACCTATTTGGTTAACTTGAAAACCGGTCGAAATTTTTAAAATTACGAATAAAATGAAAATAGCACGCATCTTTGGTTTGTTGGTTCGAATCGAAATGATGATTATGGCCAATAGGGACTTACTTTTATATATGAATTATATATTTCAAATTAACATTTTCATTAAAATATGTGAGAGCAAACCGGCATCAGTATGTGCCTTCGTAAAAAATTATACATTTAAACACGTACATGCATACGAACAGTAAACAAACACTCAGCGACATTTGTATACATATTTGAATGGGAAAGATTGTTGAGAGATCCAGTTTAGACACGTTTTCTTTTCTGATTAAAATTATTGAATATTAAGTGTACGAGTTTGACACAGACGACCAGCTACTGTTTCATTTTGCTAGCGAAACACAATGTTTAAAATACAAATATGTAATAAAGGTTTCTGTTCTAATTATTTAAACATATGTACGTGTACAAAGTTTAAATTTAATATTACTGTTTTTTTTGGATGCGTTACTTGCAAAATAACTTGAGACAGCAAGAGAAAACAAAGGGCTTTTTCACCACACAAAAGTAAACGTTATTAGTTGGTAAAGATACCTGTCGCATTTGGATAATACGGATGTTGAATATTTGTGTACGCTACTATGAATTTTTGGGTAATGCTCATGGTAGAAGAATACAGGTAGTCGCATCGACACAGCTGCTGGGACAATAAACTGTCAAACCGATTTTGGAATTGAAAATCTTGAATGAAAAATTATTAAAATTTTATAAAATTGTTGTTGATCATTACAATCTCCGATTTGCGTCGTATATAACATATAAAGATCTACTTATTTTTGACAAAACACTTTAAAAATGTTGACATATTAATGTTCCCGAGCGTTGTTGCATCTACCTATATTCTTCCACCATGGGTAATGCCGTTGCACAGAATATTTTCACAATTTCTACTTCTACAGTGTTTTCTAATTGTGTGATTTGTTTTGATTCCTCTTTCATTCCATGGTAGACGAATACAGATAGTCACATTGACACAGCTGCTGGGACAAACTGATTTTAGAATTGAAAATGTCGAATGAAAAATTATTGAAATTTGTAAAAGTTATTGAACAATACATATTATAACAACCTCTGATTTGTGTCGTATAAGAAGACACATAAAAATCTATTTATTTTTGACAAAACGTTTTAAAAATGTTGACTTATCAATGTTCTCAAGCGTTGATGCATCTACCTGTATTCTACCATGATTCATTCCTCTAATGTGGTCATATTTACACTGAATAATGAGATTTTCGTAGTTCACCAAATCGATCGAAACTCGAAGAAGCTAAAACAAAAACGATCGATATTAAATGACGAATTTCAAACCATTCCATTTGGATTTTGTGACATGCCGGAATGATGACAAAGAGCATTATACGTAAATCCTAAAACATCATTTAGGGTGGAAATACATAAAGCGCATATTTGTCTGGCTTAAGTCATCTGCTGGCTTCTTCGTAGATGGACAAAGGAGTTTAAGGTTGACTTAGTTCGAATTTGGCCCTATCATTTCCGAAGAAGCCACCCGATGACTTAAGCCAGCCAGATAAGCGCTTTATGTATTCCCACCTTTTATGTATTTCCGCCCTTAGGTTGACTTAGTTCGATTTTGACCTTACGCTCCTTTGTTCTTTTCTGAAGAAGCCAGCCAATGACATAAGCCAGTCAAAGATGCACACAATTTATTAATATCAAGTCATAAATTGTATGACTAATTTCAATGTACATTGATTAAGGATTTCCAGTTCTATTCCTTTCAAAGTATTTCCAAAAATAATTCCAAATTTCTGAACTTCAGCTCGATAGGTTCACCCAAATCCAATTAATACAAAATTTAAGGTAAGGATACATAAAGCGCTTATCTGGCTGGCTTAAGTCATCGGCTGGCTTCTTTGGAAATGAACAAAGGAGCCTAGGACCAAAATTGAACTAAGTCAACCTAAAACTCCTTTGTTCATCTACGAAGAAGCCAGCCGAGGATTTAAGCCAGCCAAATATGCGCTTTATGAGTTTCCACCCTTAGTACCATTTAGCATACAACTCAATCCTATAAAACATTTCCGGACTCCAGTCCTATGGATTCACACAAACCCAAATTATACCACATTTAGTACCATTTAGTACACCAAAGTACGAATTTCTAAAACTTTCTTCATACCCCAATCATACAATCCACAGTAATCCCAATTATAATGTTCAGCATTCCATTCTTATCGATTCGTCTAAATCCAATGGAACCAAATGATAAGTACTCCCTACATAGCCCAATCCTACTCTCCAACAGTAATCTTAAGTCCAAATTTCAGGATTCCAGCTCCATCGGTTCTCCTAAATCCAAATTGTACCAAAATTAGTACATATAAGTACAAATTTCCAAAACTACCTACATCATACAGTCCAATAGGAATATTATTTTCAAATTTCAGCATTCCAACTCTACCGTTTCACCAAAGTTTGGGTGTAACGCACTTTGTAGCATTTTGTAACAAATTTTGTACCATTAAGTACACATTTGTACAAATTTCCAAAACTACCTACATACCTCTGTCGTACAATGCAATAGTAATCTTCAGGTGGAATACATAAAGCGCTTATTCGGCTGGCTTAAGTCATCGACTGGCTTCTTCGGAAATGAACAAAGGAGCCTAGGGTCAAAATCGAACTAAGTCAACCTAAAACTCGTTTGTTCCTCTACGAAGAAGACAGCCAGATAAGTGCTTTATGTATTTCCAGCTTAAAACTCTTTGTTCCTCTACGAAGAAGCCAGCCAAATATGCCCATTATGTATTCCAACCCCCATTTCCAAATTTCAGGATTCCAACGAAGTTCCCGTGAAATATTAAAATACATGTGAAAGTGGCAACATAGCCATGGTTGTCATGTCACTCTAAAACTGTAACTGAAATATGGCAACCTATGCCTGAATAACAAGAAGAAGAGCAATATTAGGAAAATTTTTGTGGACAGCATTATATTTAGCGTCATTTTAGTTCGGAATATTGATATATCTTCATAAATTCCTTTAATATCATTAAAGTATTTGTAACTAACACAACTTATTTTGAATTGGAAATATATATTAGTCGTAAAGTATAAAAGATACTTCATTGAATTTTCAACAACTACATTTGAAGAAGGCGATAAGAAGAAATTGATTGGGAAATATTTTGACTGCAACTTGATGCATAATACACAGACAAAAATGGCGCCTACCTGCCAGTAAGAATATAATCAATTGTGATTATTGGAGAGACTTTGTGGCTGTAGCTGAGGAATCTACTTGTTGACTTTTATTATAATTACAAAAATCATAACCTCGAAGTTTAACATGTCGTCCAATGCGGATGGGACGACCGGTATTGAGTCTATTAAGGCTGATATTGATCAAGAACGGAAAAATGCAGCAAATCAACCAACGGAAAGTGTTGGTGGTGATTCGCCACGTATAATAGGAAATGAAATATTGGTTAAACCACAAAACAAAACTTCGGAAGGTCAGCATACTGATGATTTGTTTTCATTGGAGCGGGAAATAGCTAAAATACATAATGTTGATGAAAGTGCTGAAAACGTACATGTTAATCTTGCACATACGTCTTCTTCACCATGTGGAGACAATGCTGAAAGCAATGGTGACACGATTATTGTTGCAAGCAACAGCTTAAACACAGATGAAAAGGAAGCAAGTGAAACAAATTATGAAGTAAAAGTAAACACAATTGCATTGGGGGAAACAGCGTTAGACCATGAAGATTTGATTGCCGTGTTGAAGGGATTGGATGATGGGAATGCTACTGATGCAGATTTAATTGAAGGTGTTACAATAGAGGGTGAGGGGGAATATCAAATCATGGAAGTAGTTGACGATGATACAACTGAAGTAGAAGTGTCACCACCATTATCCCCCCTAAAATCGGGAAACTCTTCGAAATCTTTTGGAGCAGCAGTTCTTACCACAGAAGAAGAAAGGGCCTTGGCATTGGAACAAATGGCAAACATTGATAAAGGTCGTAACAAACAGCGCAAACGTAAACAGGATATCAAACCAATGCAACAGATCGACCCTGTTGTGGACTTGGTCTCTTCATTGGAAGCAGATTGGACTGATAATGACGATGATGGTAGTAGAGAAAATGTAACAACAAATAAAAAGGAGTCGCCTGTTCCAGTTCAAATAATTGAGTCAAAACTAAATGTTCCACAAATAACCAGCGTTGTTGTTATCCCTCCATCGTCCGACAAAAGAAAAAGTTCAGAGTCTATGGTACAGAATTCGACAAGTGCCGATAAAAAAGAGAACATTTCTAAAGAGAATGAGTCGAAAGAAGCAGTCAGTACTTCATCCCCGATAGAGGGTGTAATTGTGACAAAAACAAATGAAGAACCACAAATCTTAAGCTCACATACAGGTAAGTTCTGTTTACTTCATTATTTTAGCTTTAGAAAATAAAAATAACTTATTATTTCTGTAGAACACAACAAATTTCTTAGGCTAACTAATAACATTAAAAACAATTTTTCTATAAAGTGAGAAAATCCAGGGAAACACAAAGTATAGAAATATCTTTAGAATCTGCAGATAAAAATAATAACTTTTCTTCCAAATTTTAGTGTTAATTAAATGCAAATGCCCTCATTTGTTGGGCTGAGACATATTTTATGGTCGGTTGGAAAGTGATTTGAATTCAATCAAAAATGGTTGGTCGTTTAGTGGCTAGTAATTAAGTAATTATTATAAGGGCCCAATTGTGTTCAGTGAAAACGCCACATTTCCTGTGAAATGCAATTTTAAGCAAAAGGTCCAAAGCAATAGAAAAGCCAAAGAAACTAAAGCAACCATATTGTTATACAGATGAGTTTGAGCTTGAGACGAGTCATTTTAATTAAAACGATGTTAAATAGTTTAAAATGTAATTTGTTCCTTTTTTCTACCTATTCATATCATGCTTCAAATACGGACGAAATATTAAATGTAATTTGTTCCATTTTGAAATCTTCTTATATAATACTATTTGAACTGAATTTTTTATGCTTCTGATACT